ATGTGAAAGAGAAGAAGTCTGAGTTTTTTCGTTCGTATTGTTGCCAGAACCTGGCTGTTCGATCTTTGGAGGTTAACTTAGAATTAACCAAAGAAACATCATTCAAATCTGTAACATTAACAAGAGAAATATCAACTTTTGCAGTTAAAATCGAAACATTCATCTGTTATTAGAATGACATGCATTTACTGAGTATTTTAAAGTCTCCTTCATGTGAAATTCTTTAAACACTTTGAGTTATGATAATTTTAGTAACAGGGAAAGAAAAATATTTTGCTGCGCTGAAATTTAAATAACTTCTATCACAGTTGAGGTTACGAAACTTGTAGGGCCGCGGTAGCCAAGTGGTCAAGGAATCGGATCATGGCTGGCATGTCATGAGTTCGAGCCCAGTACCACTAAAGACCCGCCGCTTAGGGGATCCATGCACATTAAATCTGTCGAGAGATCAAATTTCCTCCCATTGGTGTGGTCTCAGGTGTCGTCCTCGTCACTTGACCATGGTTCAAAGTTTCGAGGTCCATCGCCAAAAGTCCTCCTGTGTAGCTGACATGCGACGTTAATATTCATTCACTCCGAAACTCGTATTTCTTCTCGATTCCATAATATTCGCTTAGCGAACGAAAGGCTAATCTCTATGCAAAGTTACTTTACAAAATGGACGTTACGAAATAAATTTTAACTTCTATAAATGTTTTTATTATGAAATTCGTTAATTTTTGTGATTTTTGAATATTAGAACGTTGGCAAACTATTATATACATTTTGTGCCTGAAAATATGGCACTTTTTTTTACATAATATACGCTACAATAAAAATTCAATAATTCATCTAATTAAATTTTTTCCCCTTGATTACCTCCCCTAATATCAGCAATATTTATCTGATACACTGATTCTTTTCTATGTTCGAGATCGTGAGGCTCTTGTCTCCAGTAAATGTTACTAAATTTTTTTAGAGAGTAAAGTTGTCTTTGCATTTCACGATTTCTTCTTGTCAGATATTTGGGTGCTAAATATCTCCCTTGAATCTATTACAAATTCTTAAATCAGAAACAATAATTGTATTTTAATACCAAAAACATGATAAAATATTTAAATACTTAACAGTTATTTTATATTGAAACATAAAACCAAAATACTTGATACTGAGAGGAAAGTAACTAAACATTTTCTACAAGAAAAGTAATACTTTAAAAGAATCAAGTGGCAATCACCATTATTTTAAATATTGTGTGTGATTAATTTTTGAATAATTTTGTTAAGGAAAAACTAATAGTAAAAAGACTTTACAGTTAATGGAATGAAATAATGATAAACATATTTCAAAATTTATGAGTGAAATGAATTTTTAGATAAACATTCAAAATTTGTTATTTTCAATTGATTATTGATGTATTTTGCCTACGATTAAACTATCTTTTCATATTCATTGCGTCATAATTGATATCTAAATTGAAGTTTATTGAAAAAACTTATACATTTTCAATTTCATTTTTAGAAAATAAACTACATAATATTGCTTTCTTGATTTGAATAGAATTTAAGAAACTCCTATTAAGATAATCAATACAAATAAAGTTAAAAAATTGTTTTTGAGTTAAGGAGCGTTTAAAAAGTGCAAAATGCAATAATTTCAACACAATTAATAAGTATTTTTGCATCTTAGATTGTAAGGTATATACATTTGCTTAAATTATATACGTACAATTAATTTCGACTGTGATAAAATTTACCACTAATATAAAGTTAAATATTATAATTTATGTAATAATTTTATTTTATCATGATTGTTTTTCTTTTCTTTTTCTTTCCTTTTTTATTTTTCATTTCAAGTAAATCTATACAGATCTAAACTATGTGTAATTTTTCAAAATTTTATCACTAAAACTTAGTTTATGCAACAAACTTTAGACATTACTTATCTAAGTTATTACTTTACTTTTTAACGAATTTGCTATACAGACTTTACAAATATTCATTAAAATAAGATACACTACGAAAAAAATTTAAGGAGAGGCAGTGTAATGAGTGCCACGATAGTTTATCCCAACATTCTGAACATAACTGATCTCTTTTCCAATCTTTCTGAGTAGGTGGAACCTAAAATTTTCTCTCTGAAATGAATCCCGAAAACAAAATTAAGCTATCATGAGATGCTCAAAACATCATCTCGAAGGGGGTCATGGAACAAATAACCATTAGAGGGAGTCGTTCCTGAAATATTTTGTCTCAATTTACCAGCTTGCCCATGGAACTATATTATGTATAACTTTAATAATAATCAATCCACATCTCGGACGGACTGAAATCCATCAATCACGGAAGCGACAACGAGAACAATTTTTAATAGCTAGTTATGCTGGCCGTAAATTACAGAGCGCGAGGTGCATTTGTAACACGACATTATGCCTATCGGGGCTTGTAGGGAATATTATTACGTCTAAGGCTTCCAACCAGGAATGACCGCTAGGGCATAATGGGTAACCGAAGGGAGAGGGAATTACCCACTTGGAGAAGAACGCCCAGAAAATTCTGATGGATTAAGTCGTCAGTTATCGGAAATATGTCGTGAGATGGAGATGGTGTGTCTATCCTCCATTACAGCGGCCACCTAAAAAGAATATGGATGTTGGTTGGTCTCAAGACTTGGAGGCCGGTTTTAATAGTCCTCGGGGGAAGAAATTACAAATTGAAAGATGATTTGTGCAGCTGGGCCAAAGGCCATTGCCACGGCAGAATAAATACATTGATTTTTTAGTCATTAACTAGAGGGGACGCATGGCTAATCGATCAAGTGGAACGCTACATAATTGGAGAAAATTTACGTTCGTATAGTTTTCTAATAAATTTTTAAAGACTGGACCCGACTATTATAATAATAGATAGATAATTAGTGGTTGAGAACTGTGCTTCTCCAGACATGCGTAACTAAAAACAATTGCTTTCGATGGCTACTCCCCCCCCCCTTTGATTCATGTTAAAAAATTACACATAAAAGTAGTTAAGATTTTAAAAGATTCTTATGAAAATTTTCTCCACGCAGTTTTTTAAAAAGTTATTGATCTTTGAAATTGTACTATTAATTTTTTTTTCATGAAAGATTTAAAAGTGAAAGGAACAAGCAGCAGGGGCAGCTCTCTAGGGTGCCAGACTCCTGCTTAGGGCGGCATTTGGATCAAATTTGAATTTTTTTTATTTTGTTACAAAAAATTTAATGTATTCTCTGGAATATTATTGGGTGTGAATTTGGTATTTCATTCAACGTATCTTATTTCCTTTTTTGTAATCTGTATGCTTAACGCTTGTTTCCTTTTATGTTGAAACTTGAAGGGTTCGAGGCGGGAGTATATGTTCAATCAGGAAATTAAATATGTTTACTCATCTTTCACTGGTAACTTTCTCCCAATCCCAGACAGAAGTTACAACGGACTTTTCTTTCCCCCATACGATGTCAGCTATCCAAAAAGGGAAGAGTTTTTGGAAAGAAGAGAGAGAGCAACAGATGTTTTATTTTAGTCTTGAGTGTAGTTACTACAAGTTAAAATAAAAGTTTGTGATCCTCCCCATCAGTAGGCGCTTTTTCGAAGAAACTGGCCTACTGAAATGGGCAATTCCTTCATTTCATTTTACTCGCTTGAAATAATAACAGGTAATTATGTCATTGGAAGCCCAGTGGCTGAATGGTTAGTGCATCGCGCTTCCACACCACAGGTCCGAGGTTCAAACCCCGGGCTGGGCAAGGTTGACTCAGCCTTTCATCTCATCAGTGGGTCGCTAAAATAAGAACCAAGCTTACTTGGGGACCAAACGCTGGGGGTTTCGCTTCAGGCTGACCACCTGATCGGAACATCTGCTCATGCACCCCAGCACCCAATGGTCACGTATACGGAGATGGGCACAGTAGGCCTTGGCCCTCATGGGCTGTTGCGCCACTGAGTTTGAGAGAGTTTATGTCATTAATTTCAAATCCTTTTGTATTTTTTAGATTTCACACACACACACATATATATATAATCAAAATTTCTCTACGTGAGAGAGAGATGAATAAACATGATTAAAACTGAAAAGAATTGAAATTGCAAGACACCAGACCACAGAATTTAAAAGGAAATATGAAAAATTAAAATATAATAGAGTTAAATATAAAATATATATATAAGAATGGATGCTACAGTATTATCAACATTGCTGACTTAGGACAGCTTATGTATAAATTTTTTTATATAAGTGGGGTTGAATTTATTCCCCCCTTCTGTTAATAATACTGCGCAATATATATATATATATATATAATTGTTATGCTGTCTTTCTGTTAGCAAGAATTATTCAAGTTTTACAAGTGTGCGTTTATGAAGAATTTATCTTTTTTAGTTAATTATAATTTTTTGCTTTTGGAGAAAGGAGCGGAATTTTTCATTTTGGTCAGGGGTGGCAAGACTCCTAGAGGCGGCCTTGCAAGCAGTTCTGATCCCAGTAAAGGAATTTATCTAATATTTTTAATGCAGCAATGAATATGATTTTACTTTTCATGAAGTGTTTCTTTAATGCAAATACTTCTAATACGAATGATGTATAGTAAGATCTTAATATTCCTCAGTTTAACAGATATGAATGTCAAGCAAAAAATATGTACTGCTAAAAAATATCTTTATTAGTTATTTATTTTATATTAAGAATAAATCAATATACAAGGTAGTAGCATTCTCAGTTTCGCTTTTTCGGGAGAGGGAAGAGAAGTTCAGGCTCTTTTTCAATTTCTACTATTAGTTCACTCTCTCCTTGTATATAGAAAAATCTTGTTCATATTTTCAATCGTTAATAAAATACTTTCTATTCATCCATTCAAGTTCCAAAAAATTTTAAAACTTGTAGTGTCAAACTTGATGTCAATACAGTTTTTTCAAATATGAATTCATTAATTAAATTAAAAATGAATAAATTATAACAAACAAAAATAATAGTCCAACAGCACATATAGAAAGGAAAATCGTTCGTTGTGTTCCTGTAGCGCAATGGATAGCGCGTTGGACTTCTAATCCAAACATCGAGGTTTCATATCCCATGTGGAATGGCCTAATTTCTGAGAATAGTCTGATTTCTTTTATACTATACTATTTTCTTAGAATAATTAATGAAGAAATAGTAACAAACACAAAAAATAGTACAACACCATATATAGAAAAGAAAATGGAAAATTGCTTTCTATTTTGTCAATGTTGTGATTCTGTTATATGTACATAAATATTTATATCAATTCTAGCTATTTAATAAAAAATAATTAAAATAAAACTTTTATATGTTGACCTAAGTGATATTTTTAATATTAATTGTTACAATTCACTAATAATCGCTTTTATACAACTCTTTTAGGAAACATTTTGTTGTTGTTATTATAATGCCACCTGATCATCAAAGGCCAGATCGAGGTCCACGAAATGCATCATGGCAAAGGGCTAAGTGACGCCTGTCGTTAACCGTAGCTTTGGGTACCATGCAGGTGACAGTATGATTTGGCCCATTTCTATCCCCAATTTTGAGGGAGGACACCCTGGGGGTGGTCACAGGCCTTCCACCAAACTCACGAGAGGAATTGAGGCTCGGTGTCTATTTAGAGTACCCCCATGCCACGAAGGCACTATACATTTATACACATTTTGCCTTTTCCGGGATTCGAAATCCCTACGGCACAACAGTCAGCGTCGCTAACCATTATACCGGATGGGCGACAGGAAACATTTTAATGAATTATAAGTGTGTGGAACTTATATACTCTTCCCATTTTTTATGTACCACTGAAGCAAGAGTAATATATAGGCATAGTTTTAAAAAAAGTTTCATTTTTCCCCCATTCTCTCTCGCAATTCTAATTTTCAAACTGAACTACAAGTTTTTAAAAATCATATAATTGCAATAAATATGATATGCTTTAAGAATACACAGTACCTCAGAAGTGAGGGGAAAAAATGTCTGTGACCTATTCGGTTGGAAAGCTTGACTTTAAATTGTAAATCTTATATCTAGTTAATTTTTAAGATAACCCACATTATCCGGTTCAATGAAAGCATCTTGGATATCTCCTTTCACCTTCAGTGGAGTTGTCTCGTGTCTTTGAACTAGTCTCCGTTCATTTGTAGTGTTGATCAATCGTACTGGTAACTTCGTTTGTTGTAGCTCGAAAATGTCAAAACGGAAGTGCTTGAGCATCAAAGAAAAACATTTTAATTCTTCAGAAAGTGGATAAAGGCGTCAAGAAACATTCCTTGCAGTTTTTCTTTCGTTCTTTTAGGTTCTTAATAGGTAAGATACATCAAATAAATATATATTAATTTACAAAAAGATCTGAATGTTTACCAGATTGAATCTTCTAAGTTTAATTTACATAAATGTATTTTTTGAGAAAAAGAACATACCGTAAAATACGGCGTATAACGCGCACCTATACTTTCAAGTTACATTTTTTAATTTTGAGGTATGTTCGCCGTATAACGCGCATCCCCCCCCCTTTTATGAAGAAACCTGTAATGTACGTGTGCAATGCTCCTACGTTTTTAAGTCATTTATTCCAGGTATTATCCCAGGCTTTTCAAAAAATAGTCTACTTCTAGAATTTCCCCTCTTGCTGTTCATAGGGTATGTCATTTCTTAAAAATAAATAGTTTTCGATATATGTAGAAGTCTAATTTTCTTTATGCTCAACTCTTTTTATTTTTATTTTTAAAGCTCTCATTTTTATACCTGGCATATAACGCACACCCGTAAATTTCGAACTTAATTTTTGTGTTAAAGTGCGCGTTATACACCGGATTTTACGGTATATATAATTTGTAATTAATTTTATTTTTATTTTTAAATAAAAAAAAAGCATATATAATAAAACCTCTTTATGTCTAAACTGTTGTTTGTAAAGCTTTGGATATAACATTTTGAAAAATATTTTGCTAACGTGTTTATTATTGTTTTGCAAATATTGTGAATTACACAACAACTGTACACAACACTTTGAAGTTATAAGAAAGCCAAGGGCAACGGACCTAATTTTGAACCTCGATCGAGTGAGGACAATGCCCCCTCCCTCTCTCCAAACTACGTAAGAGTTTTGAGCCTCGATACATTTTGCGTACATCTGCCTCTCTGCATAGATAGTTTTTTTATTGGAAACATAACTCGAACACAATAATTGAAAAAGTCAGTTTGTGAGGGAAGCGCTCTTTCTTCCCTCAGTGAGGGTGGGTGGGTCGAAAAGAAGACTAGCCATATTTAAAACTAATATCAATATATTGTCAATATCAACCACAACACAAAACTTAATAACCAAGTCTAGAGATGCACCCAATTAATAAATATGAGGACAATTAACGAAGTATACGAGATATGAAAAGACTTTAAATACTTAATACACTTACCCTAAAATCGTAAATTTTGTCAAAAATTGACAAATTTTTTAATAATTTTATTTTATAGGTCATCTTATTAGCTTTATAAAAATGCCAAGCTTATTATTTTCCGTTCACTAGAACAAAAGCTACAAGTGTTTTAGTAAAAATAGATGCCATTACTTTTTAAGTAAAATGTCATACTTTAAAAACCATTTTACTCGAAATGTGTTTAAAAAAAAAACGAGGTCAGCGATTACTCAGAAAGTTTTGAAAATAATTGACTGAAATTTTTTTGTATATGTTCTGTATGGTAAGAGAAATGTTTTAATGTTCAGATTTATCAATCACTGTTTTATTACAAATTTCCAGTCCCTTATGTTAATATAATCACTGTTTTCTTAAGCAGTTTAAAGTAATAACTAAGATAAAGTGCTCTATTTTTGTAAAAATTAAAATATCTTTTATCCTGAAGGACATTTCAAAAATGAATAACATAGCAACACATCAGAATTGAAAAATTGAAAATTTGTTCACAAACTTTTGGTACAGAATGGGCACCGTTTATGTTATTGTTTGTAAATTTTTACTAATTTCTTCCCATTTTAGTAATAACAATTTCTTTTTCTCTTCTTAATTTTAGCACATTTTTCTTAAAATATTCTAAACAAATCTAAAAACAGCAACAAAATCCCCAAATCTCTATTTTTTTATTTTTTTTAAAAAAAAGGTATCCCTAGTAGTCGGATACCTTAATTCAATAGCTCTGACTTCTTAGCTATCTGATCTAGATTCAATCTCAAATGACAGATCGTCATTCGCATTTAGTTTGATTAATCACTGCTCCACAAGCAGTCTATCCCCCCCCCTATCTCTTTTTTTTTAACCTGAAAGCTTAGACTATATATATATCTGCCAATTTGCATGTTCACGGTCTCTTCTTCGGAGGAAGCTTTCTAATAAAATAATTTTTAAGGATCAAAAATTTCCCAAGAGGACTGTCAGTGAAAAGATCGCGGATAGAGCCGTCACAAGTTTCGAGTTCATGTCATGACCACTTGACCACCATGACCGTCAATTTTTTGTATCAATGTAATATATTCTATATAATCATCTTCTTTTATATCATTGAGGAATAAACCTTTGATTTTTTAAAAAAAAGTTCAACAATAATTAAAAGCTATAGTACAAAGGGATTATTTTTATAATAAAAATTAAAAACATATATTTTGTACTAAAATAAGATAAGTTTACTTAAGAATGTTTTCAGCTAACGTCAAAGTACCCTATCCAAACTTGGTAGACATTTTCAAGGGAAAAAAAGCGATCTAATTTTCGAATAAATTTATGAATTTACCACACATACATAGTATTTTCTTAAAATTGGAAACTTTAAAAAATATGTTTAATTATTCAAAATTTTAAGATCCATACAGAATTACAGCAAAGGAGATGAAATAAAGAATATATTTTTCACCAAAAAATTAGATTGATTCATACACAAATGAGACGTATCGTAAAACATACCACTCTTTGAAAGACAAGAAAATCGGAATGTACTATTGATGGCCGAACTTTTTTTTTTTGTGAGAAAAAATATTCTTATTTCGGGTTATGTTCTTTAACATAACGTGTAGACAACCTTGAAATCGAAATTTTATTCTTAACACGTTCTTGGACAAAGGCAGCATGTGCCGCTCTTCTTGATGGGACAAAGCGTGAAATCTTGTCCAAGTTTGCTGCAAGCTAAAATACAAAGCAGAGTGGCGTATGCCGTAAATTTTTGTTTAGAGAATGATGTTCAAGCACTGTGGGTGTCTCAGTAAATAGCATGAAGTACTAGGATTACCTGTGGAAAGCTAGATGTTCACAAGAACGTGTTAAGCAAAGTATTTATATTCTTTGTGCACATCATTTGCAACTGAACTCTAAACAGACAGATCTGATTAGCACATTCTTAAATATCAAAATTATGACATATTTACGATACTCTGAAGCAGTGGCACATACAGTAATTTTTAAAGGGGTGAGGAAAGGGTCAAGGGTTGAAAGTTCCCCATTCTCATATCATACTCCAATACGCCGCCTAACATATTCTTTTGATTTTGCCGATTGTTGGGCACAAAAAAAAAAAAAAAACAGTAGAAAATAAATTGTTGAATGAATAATTATCATTAGTTAATAAAATTAATTATTAATAACAAACAATTATGTCTTACGTATTATATACATAGGATTATAATCAATTAAAAAAATCAAGGGTGATGGGGAGGGTATGGACCCGTGCCTCCCCCCTTGTGTGCGCCACTGCACTACAGTATAATGTAGGGATGCTGCCCCCCCCCCCTGTTTATCATTTAAAGATTACGAATACTTCTTTGACTGAAAGTGATTCCCTTTACGAAATGAAGTAAAAAAATCGCGGATGAAGTCAAAAAATCAGAAGATATTTTATAAGGGAAATAATTCTTGAAAAATGCTTATAAAAGTACAGTTCCTTTTCGGAATGATGCGATTAAATATGACTTAAAATGTATAATACTAAACAAGTTCCATAAACGTAACACACACAAACAGTTTAATTTTTTAAATTCTGTTTGAATTTTTATGCATGAAGTATAATGAAACATAAAAATAATAATGAAGTATAATTACAGTGAGTTTTAATGAAATGTGATGAAAATATTACTTCTATTCC